GCTCATAATGACTTACGAATTTATTCCAAATAAGTTGCATATAGACAAATATGCATTTCTAATTGATTCTACTCGATATTTAACAATTACATTTAATAATAATACGGTAAAGTTGGTTCATTGTTTTAATGTACTAAATTTAATACAATCAAAATGCATAAAAAAATATCGGCTTTTATTATTATTTCGCAATATCTTAAAGTTTTGAACTCAATTAGTCGACACTATGAAATTACTGATAGTAATTTAATGCGTTGGATTGTTCGAATTAAAGCTCTGAATAATCTGTGTTCGCTATATTTTGAGGCAAAAATTTTGGTTTTTAATTGAAATTTATGCTGTAAAATGAATTATTTCAAGTTCAAAAAGGTTCATTATGGTATTTCAATTGCAAGTATACTTATCACCATTAAATTACTAATGTAATTAACTATTGAATTTTTACCACCCATGAATCGATCATAATACGAAGTAGATATAATAATTATTATTATATACTATTATATCATTTTAATATATAAATCCGTCATTTTTCTTTATTTTTCTATTCGTTAATAATTTATTCCTCGGGTATGGTATATCATCAATTGCTAAAAATGTTACTATAGTGACGTATGATATTGTATGATAAAATTGCGGTATTAGACATAGCCATAATGATTGAGGTTTTCCACTTATGCGGTTCACATAAATATTTCGGTATTCTATTCCAGTATTCTATTCCATTCTTGCCATAGTTCTATACGGCTCTGTTATGATACCATTAAATTAATTAATAACGCCAATGTGCAACTAGACCTTAATTTCATTAATTAGAAAGTTAAAAGTTAATTTTCAACGAAATTTATGGCTTTTAATGCCAATTAAGCAGAGAATATTTCGGTTATTATTGATACTGTTGGCTATCTTAGCATTTTAAAACACTTCTAATTTTTAATCACTGGAGTCAAAAATATATTTAATTATACCACAATAAGAAAAGAATATAATAGTTGCCTCCTGAATTCTTAGCCAAAATAAAGATAGAACTTCATTTAGTATTATCGCCTTTACAGTTTAATGAATTCAATTGTGTAAATAATCCTTGAACCATAGCTTGTATTAATTAATAACGAATTTACCTTAAATAAGTTGTTTATAGACCACCTATTCTGGCGAATCGTATATTATTTAATCAGATAAAACCAGCTGGACTTGATCATTAAGCACCGGAAAATGATGTTGTAGAATAAAAAAGTTCTATTGAAGTTGGAAGGAACACTTTTTATTCTTTTTCTCCATAGATTGATTAGGACTTGATTATTGGTTTTCTCTTTTATCGGATAGAATAGATAATTCTATTTATATTGCATAATTTAATATTTTACATTCTACTGCGAATGAATATAATTTACCGTGTAGTCCGCCGTAAAGAAACTTTGCGATGATTCCTTTCATTAAATTTATTTCTTACGTTCTTTATCATTTTAGGGTTCAATTCAATGTTCATTTTTTAAAAATTAAGCTGAATTAATTTACTATCCTATCTTATAACGTTGCTGCCATCCGTCTTGGATTATCCGATTATCAGTGTGCTAAATCTTTCATTGATCTCTATTTATGTTTAGTGTCAAATAGAAAAGAAAACTATATGGCCTCCAGAGACATCAATACTTCCAGTAATTTTACTAAAACTGGTATTAGCCAACCCGTTATTATCAATTTCAGTTTTGGGTTAGCTGGTTGTATCCTGAATGGTTTGGTTTGCTTAATCATTGCAACTCATAAAAGTTTACGCCAGCCATTTAATCACTTAATTTTAAATTTATCATTATCTGATTTTTTCGTATCATTATCTGTTATCCTCTATGGATTATCCAATTATTTAGCAGTGTACCAGTCAGCTAATAATTTATCTATAACTGTAGCGGATATTTTGTGTAAATTGGACGTATTTTGCATCTTAGCATCTATTTCAGCTGCTTGCTTAACTTTATCCATCATTAGCATCGAGCGTTATCAAGCCATTGCTATTTTACGCTTGCATAAAATGAAATTGTCGACTACGCGTAAAATTATCCTTATAATTTGGATCTTAGCGAGCATACCAGCTGCTATTCCAGCATATTTTTCTAGAATTGATGCCAACCTCTACCACAGCTGTCATTTAAATCAAATGGATAATTTTTTCTTAATTGTTTTTTGTGTTATACTGTTCTGTTTAACTTGTTTTCTACCCGTCATTTTTATGCTACTCCTCTATGGCATTATTACTCATAAGTTATGGATTACCACTCGAATTACCCCTTCAACTGTATCTCAAGTAGCTAGTAAGCGTAAACGCTATCTACGCCGTAGTGTTATAGCTATATTAGGCATTTCATTATTTTCATCGGGTACGGCCTTGCCCTATTTAGTATTTTCCATTATCCTTATCATCGGCCAACATTATGATTCTGAATTTAAATTGATTTTTATTGCTAAAAATGAGTTAATTTGGTCGATTAGTACGTATTTATTTATATTAACTCCGATTTTAAATCCACTGTTGTATAATTTAGCAAGCAGTCAATTTCGTGAAGTCTTATATCATCTGCTAAATTCCCATGATTGCAAATTTCTCGCAAGAACAAGGAGACGAACAAACACTGTACCAATTCAACGTACAACGACTATTAGAACTCTTACTACAAAGCCTAGCCATCAATTAACGGCGGTTGATTAAAAATATTCAATAAAAAAATATCGTTAAAAGATTTTATACAGCCTAACTGCAGACGTAAATTGCGTATGTTATGGTATATCCATAAAAATGAGATGGAATTAAAACATAACTTAACGAGCTGGGGTTGAATTGCTAGATATGAAATCAGTACTGATCTCAAATTACAAACAACTTTTTTTATAATTTATGCCAATTATTAACAATTTATTCTTCATTTATCTTTCATGTGGCGAATTTAGAAGGCAAGCCACATTCATTAAAGCTCGACGATTTGTTGGAAAGCAAAGATGAATTTGCTATTCTTTTCATATCTCACCAAAATCATTTCCTAATAGAACCATTAACTCTTCATGAATTAACACAGGGTTTCCAGATTGAATAATTTGCAATAAAATATTAAATTATTCTTTTATATAGGAAATATTCATCGAATTCTTTGTGCAGAATGATAAAAAACTCTTGCCCTGAATGTATAATAAAATTTTATAGCAACGTATCTTTACTTTCTGTCTTAACTTAAATCTGTATTAAATAATAGCTTTAAAAACTGGTTTTCTAGCTACTAGATTGGACTCATAAGCTTGATACTCTAAGAAATTAAGGTATATTTAAGGGAATGTACTTAACTTATGTAGTAAAGAAATAAAACCAGTTCCGCTTTCATCTTCAGCTTTACTCATTACCTGGATATCCGGTTTTGAAGCATTTAACCTTTATTAATCCAATGTTTTGTTTTCTAAATAAACGCATTAACTCCATGCAATGTATAGGAAACTAAGTCATTTGGATAACACCATGCATAGCAGCTGACTTACTGCAATCATAATTATTACATCTTGAAATCAATAGTTGCATGCTACTTCATTAATGATTACAGTCTAGATTGCATTTACCTCTACTTCGTAATATGCTTATCTTGTAAAGCCTTAAAGTGGAGCAAAATTTACTGCATTTTATGTTAGATCTTAAGGATGAATTAAATAGTACAGTAACGATTTTCCGATAAAAAATATCGAAAGAGACAGTGGCGAATTAAAATTTGAGACAATACCATAGTACTAGTAATATCTCGTTTTAGGGAACTAGTTATGCGGGTCATATATTACGGGTTTTGGATGTTTAATATTACTATCCTTAAGGGTTGTATCTTCAGAAGTTATCGTCGTATTAGCTAATATTTAACAAAAAAATGCCCATATTTCGGCTACGTATTACCAAAATATTTAAACTACTATATTATTATTTAACGTTTTTAATCAAAATATGATCTTATCCTGTAATATCTGTCAACCTTATAATGCCGAATTTTAATCCAAGGTGTGGTAATATTAACATTAGCAATGTTTTCACTCATGCAATTGTAGTAAAGGATTAAGAGTAGAGTCCTTTATAGCGTTTAGTATGCAACTAGTATTATTTTACGATAGAAAATACCTAGAAAGTGATAGTGTCTTTAAGTTTTACCCTGCCAAATCATCATATCACCATCTTTTCTACTTCATTAATTTACAAGGTATTATATAGATTACTATAGAAGTAGCCCTAGAGCAAATGCCTAATCTAAAGAAAGGGCGTTTGATCGTCTATTCAAATTGTAACTAAATTTGACTTAGTAACAAACAAAACCCTATCCTTAGAGAAAGGGGATTTATGAAAGGACAGTAAAGTACTATAATGTAGTCTATAATCGTACAGTTACCATACAACCTGAGGCTAAAATATCAACTGTCAATACTCAGCGATACTAATGTCAGAAAGTAGTCGTGATAGTCATATAAAATTTTTTGATTAGCGAAATAGCGATTACTGTAATCTTTATAAAATCCGGATTTTTTGGATTCGGATTCAGGAACCGGTCGGATTTATGTCCGATATAATTTTCCTGTTTTAATTTTTGGATTTTTGTTCATGAAAAATATCGTAAGAGTTGATTTTTGAAATTTGAACTTTTTGTTATCAATTTGAAATTTGGGAATTTTATGACGTGATTTGAAGTCACATTAGGAAAGTTAGTTAGGAAAATAGAAAATAAGATGGAAATTGGCAGAGGTTGTGTTGATTGTTAAGTAGTTAGAATGTTATTTTTATGACTAAATCTTGATGTTCAAAGGTTGATTTTTAGACTTTTATAGTGTATTAATGATAGAAATTATGTTAGAAGTGAAGTTTGTTGTATTTTATTGTTAGCTTATTGGTTTTGTAGTGTTTTGTAAGGGAATCGTAGGGTAAATTGTGTCTGAACTTTGAATGATTTTTGTTTTCTTAAATGGTGCAAAGTAGTTTTCTAAAACGGATCTTAAGAGCGATTGGTTAGCAAATGTTTAGTTTTAAATACCTCTGACTGCTCTACGAAGCCTATAAATGATAGTGCAATTAGAAAATTTAGGGGAAGAGTAGAAGAAGATTTTATTTGAAGAACTTGTTGAATTTAAAAGGCCTTCGGGGTCGAATTGTCGTAAGTTAAAACGTTCTTCTTTTTGAAAGGTTGTTTGGTCGTTGATAGTTTTTAAGTCTGTCACTTATTTTATTAATACTTAAATTAAGTATTTGTAAGGTTGTTTGGTTTATACTTCTCTCCATTTTTTTAATAAATTGTTGTTCGGTTATTTCCCCAAATTTTATTTTGTGTCAAAGTTTCGTTAAGTCGATCGGAGTGTAGCGAAAGTAGAATCAAAGTTTGTTAAAGTTTTGTAGCTTGATCTCTACACTTTTCATTTCATTACACAATAAATATATATGATAATATAATAAAGAGTAAAAGAAATCAGTTCAATACTTCGCCATTTAAGAATTTTTTACCACCTTAAAGGATAGATTTGGCTTATCGTTAGGTATTAAATGTCCAGCTCCTTTAAGGAAAGCATACTGAAAATTATTGCAATTAGCGGTGTAACCACCAATTTGTTTACCCATAGAATGAATAAAATGCCAAGGTCTATAGCTATCAAGGAGTGTTTGATGGTAAGAGTTTCACAGCTTACTAAAATATCTTAAGCCTCCACCAAATGCTACTAATGCATCTAAATCACCATAAACCGCCAGCAGTCTCAATTTAGGTAAAATATAATTGTAAACAGAGTTCATACTCTCGTACTGTATTGCATAAGAATATTTTCCATCGATAAAATTACTACAAATCTGCCATTGTGGTGCTACAGAAGGTATGTGCAAGGCTTGACGAACTTGGTACTGCCTTAAATAACGTGTTATAAGCGCATGATGAGAACAAGATGGCATTTGATAAGAACCTGCTTGAGTGATCTGATTAGTTCTTCGGATTTTTGGGGGATGGTAGCAGTTTCGGTATATATTATAAATATTATTTCCAGAGCGTAAAATTTGCTGGTAGGATTTCCAGAATTTTGTTTTACAAGCTTTAAAGTTAGAATTATAGTATTGGCATTGATCTTTATGGCAACACAAAAGTTGCAAAGATTGCAATTGCAGAGGATTTAATAAGCCATGATGATAGCCATAAGATAGAGTTGCTCCATACATAACACTCCAATCAGTGATACCGCTTATCAAAATAACGCCCACCAAATTAATTTTTGAAATATTAATTAATTACTTCGCTAGCAGAGGAGCGTAAAATCCGCCATAGCTTTCGCCAGTAATATAAAGTGAATTCTTGATAAACTGTGGAAAAATCTTATAAAAGTCCAACATGGCAAGATAATTGCTATCGGTAACGGTATTGTCAGAAAAATTATATTGATGATATTGATTATATGAATAACTTGTACCACCAGGAGATTCTAAAAAGATAGTATTAGCAAATTTATGCCATGAGGTATCCCGCAAGGTTAACGTAAAATCTATGGTAAGACTAAATGGCCCAATTTCTAATAGTAATCCTGCCATGGAACTACAACCAGGACCGCCATTCATCCATAAAATTAAAGAAACATCATTTGGATTAGACTCACACTCATAGAACATATAATGTAATCTATTTGAATCAGCACCTCGAACATAGCCAGAGAATTGCCTCGCGTTTAAATCCTGTATTTGTCCTGGTAATCTATCTTTTACTAAATTTGCAATCGCACGTTTAGTTAAGACCGTTCTAAATTGGGCATCCAAGCTAGGCTGGTTTCCAGTAGCGGAATTGTCCATAGTTTTGAGAATGATAATGATGATCAAAGTAGGCGTTGTAACAATTTCATGATTAAAGAATGTTCGGATAATTAAGAAATCGAAATAATTCCCTGTTATACTGTTACTGATTTTTATGAATTCTCTACTTAACTAGATCCCCCAAAATCAGCGTGGTACGGCTATTTACTTAATTAATCACTGAATTGCCGGTATCCATTAAGATTCATGCTGTAGGCATCAAATAATTTAATGCAAGAGCACTATATATTATTTATTGCCCAATTTCGAACGTAAATATTATCAGGTATGGAAATTTGAAATTGTATTGCCGTGATCAAAGATTTAGTATATTCACGCGCTTTTATCGGTATCTAATTAATAATTAATTTATCATTAATTCAATGTAGTCAACTCATGGATAGGACGCTATTGGATGTAGTTCCTGGCTTAAGAAATCAGAGGAAACTTTACAACGATATCATTAAAATGGACAATAAATGGCATTAATTAAACATGAGATGGAGGATATCATATAACGTAACGTAATCATCACATTTAATATTGGAAACAATAATTATGATAGAGGTGAATAGTAAATTTACTAAGGTTTATGATTGTATGTATTAGATATTCGCGTGTTCTACACGAAATAGCATAAGCAATCTATAGATAAAGGTCTATCGGTACTGCATAAATTAGCTCTATTAACTACGGTGCCATTTGCAGCTCTACGTAACGATTTAGACAAGACTGATCAGTATCATTATTGTTAGCAGCCAATCAGTTAAGGATTAAATCGTAATATGGGTAAAATTTATATATTTATTAATTAATTAATCGTCAACGCATTAATTGCTTAGTTCTATGAAAACCTTTTACTCTAGCAGATTTAGATATTTTACTATCATGATTGATATTGATATCAGCGATCAGTCTTTACTTTGATATCCGTAAATGAGAATTGACAATTTTAAATTATTGACTCAAGGCCAACTGATAAATTCTAACGCGATAATTTGCAAAGCAATCAAGCTATTATCATATTGAAAGAAATCACTATTCGCACCTGTTATTTACCGCTGTTAGTTACGATTGAGTTAGCAATAATACAAAGTTTTCTCTTTGTTGCATAATTTATTTGTATGAGTGTCATTAAAATGTACATATTCCTGTGATAATAGACGAATATACACTGGAGGTATTTCCAGATACTGTATTTCTGAGGTCTCTGATAATTATAAAACTTTTTCCTTAAGTTTTACTGGAGAAGCAATCGAAACTGTCTCCATATGCATAAAGGATAAATTATCGGGCTCTCTTTATTATAAAAATAACTTGCTTTTATATCTTCGATCTCTATTTGCGTGCAGCTGCAGAGTATATATACAGTACATGGAATTTAATATTAAAAACCTGTTAAAGTATAAGAGGGGTCTCTTTGAGCGCTACTTTAAAAAAACGTTGGAACACGCATAGAATACGAGTTTAATCACAATCAGGAGACGATCTAACCCACGCGCTCTCTTATAAATTAGGTATCTAACTAATTTTCTTGCCCGATTATGAATTAGTTTTACAATTCCAGATTTACTAATAACCTATACGTATAGCATTATTCCACAGCAAGTGCATAAGCTGGTTTCTAACCCTAATGGCAAGCTATCGACTGTATAACAATCAATACAATGTATTTATACTTCACGATGATCTAAACCGCAACAATAACAATTCACTTTTCGATTAAATGCATAAGGTGCCGTGTTACATCGTACATGGAGAGTAACCATTTGTAAACGATAATAAGATGGCGACGGTCTTAATTGGGGGATTAAAACATAAAATTTAAGCTACGAGCGAATACATGCTGTTTCATTTTAATTCAAATTTATGTCATTGTGCGATTTAAATGAGTATCGTAGTGATTATGGAGTCATTCTGTGCTTCACTTAACAATAGCTAGTAGCCTAGGATAAAACATGAATAACAAACACTATCAAAAAGTATATATAAAATTGTAGACATAATATATAATGCGATTATTTCGTAGAATTGAGTGTTTGACAACGATTTTACAACACAGAAAAAGGATATCTGAGCTGCTCATATTTTGTATTACAGATAGCAAATCATACGAGATCAAGATTTTGGTAAGTGCTATCCTCATAAGATCATGAAAGTATCTTAGAGATCTTTAATCATGGACGGATTACTACTGTATGATATCGCCAGCTCTATGGATATGGTATTAGCATAAAATAGTCAAACCTGCGATGATAGCGAAACCTTATTACGAACATTTCATTGGCTACATTTATCTGAGCGGGATTGGCAGCCAATTCAGAACACAACAACCAATCATGCTACCGAGTACTAAATTAAAATTTGAGATTTAATCTTTTAACTATCAAATATACCAAGTCGAATTAGATATTTTAGTTTAAATTTTATTAGAAAACGTCTATCAAATCATGATAGACCCTAGACACGTATGCTCGATGACTATTTTCAGTTATCATTTTTTAAATATCGCATTTCATTTATAGCTTGCATAAAACAAGTTTGTCGTGCAGTTTAATATAATTGTATCGTGATTAATATCATGATTTAAGGACCGTCATATTCAGTAGTTGGCCAAAAAGTTAACAGATTTAATATTATAAGCAATCTGAGGAAAACTGCATACATGGTGTTGAGGAAATCATAAAACTAAAAATACGGGCCATGGCTGATCAAAATCCATCTGTAGGGTTGTATACTAACACAAATGATTAACCATAGACGGAAGATAAGATTAAATTATTTAAATTGATAACTACTTTTCATTCTATTACTACGAGCATCTCAGAACAGTACTGTCAGTGCTTCTCTACGTAATTAGACATCATTCGTCGCAAAATCACCACGTGTGGTATGGATATTTAGGTTTCATATACTACTTACAACTTCTTCGTTATTACAAATCGATATTTACTACTAATGTATTAGAGTAGTATCACATTGTTACTGTATTTACAGTAATATTATTCTAACGTGGACGTATCAAGTCCCTCTCTAATATACTTATAAATAAATACTATAAATAAGGATTTCAATAGAATATTTCTACCCTAAAACAGTCTTGATAAGTGTAGTTCTATTCATTTTCAGCTTGCTTACGTACATCAACTGCACGATTCTTTCTAAGACGTGCATTTACAGTTAATCTACTGAATGAGAATGACCATCGCTAACAGTGATTTAAGAATAAAAACCTAGAAGTCTCAATCGTTGTCATTTCTCGTCGATTTTATCTTTTTTAATTAAAATAATTCCATAATTATAGCTGCCACACCGAGAACTATAACTGCTACTAAAGCGGGTATGTTGCCATTAAAAAAGGATGGATTATGAAACGGGTGTTGAATAAAATCTTTCATCATCCACCACGCTTCAGTTGGTCTGTCTCCAGGAACCAGATGACCAGCACCTTTAACAGTAACAAATTTAACATTGGGATACAAAGTAGCAAAACCTCCTACTTGACGACCATTATTATCGGTGTAATGCCATGGTTGGTAGTTGCCAATAGTTGGCAAACCAGTGGAACTGATACTTTCTTCGCCTCCTAAGAAGTTGCATACCATATCTAAATCACCAAAATAAAGGAGAATACGACATTTTTGCGATAGTGACGGAATCAGCTTTACAGCCGATTTATACTGTGTCCGATAAGATAGGCCAGAGCTACACACAGTCCATGGCTGGGCTTGATCAGAAACATGAAGTGCTTTCTTAACATCATCGCGTCGAAAGTACTTGACAGCCACCGAATTGTTAAAACATGGTGGAGAACCAAATAAGCCATGAGTACTCTTGGTTAACGTTGTAAATGCAGTGTACTGTCTAATTTGAGACATTGGGTATTGACTGCACTGAGTGTAAAAATTGTATAAATTTAAACCATCAGTGTAAATCGTTTTCATAGCGATCTGAATGGTATTTTGACATTTGCTTGAAATATCGCCAATAAATCGACAAATTTCACCTTGACAACAATGCTGCTTTAAATTAGCCCATAATGTCGGTCCAAGTATTCCGTGGTAATTAGCATATCGGATTAGTGATTGATAATTGATATTATTATCGAGAAGACCGTTACCAATAGCCAAACCGATTAAGTTGATGCTGCTATCTTGCACAACACGCCTCGCTAATGTTGGAATATAAACACCAGCATAGCTCTCGCCGGCAATAAAAAATGGGCGATTGGAATAATGTGGAAATTTCAGAAAGAAATGCTTTATAGCAGCATAGTTATTCTCGGCTGTAGTATCATCATTAATCTTCATCTTGTCATCTTGGGCATAAGAAAAACCAACGCCGGCTGGTGTTTCTAGATACAAAATATTAGCAAAAGCATTCCAAGTATGATTGAACGGTCTCCTAGCCACGGTAAGATTATCACGGATAAAGATCGGTCCATTCTCGTCGATTAAACCAGCTAATGAACTACATCCTGGACCACCATTCAACCAAAGCATCAATGGATCCTTTGCTGGTGAAGACTGCGATTCCACAAACCAGTAAAACAGTCGACTGCCGTCATTGCCATTCAAGTAGCCTGAATATTGTTTAAATGGCAATTTTTCCTTCAATCCAGGCATAGAAACGATTTCATCGGCGGCAAAACATTGAACTTGCACAATCAAATTGAGCAAATACAAGAGTAACACTGTTGTGGCCATCATTCCTAATCGGATCCAAAGCATATTTGCTATCGTTGATGATTGGTTTGGATGGCTGTAGTGGATCTTTCTTACTTATTTTGAAAAGATTGGCAACACAGTATTGTAGTCTTGAGGTATACTGTACAGGAAAACCTCGCTCGATGTTGCTAAATCGTCCTTGAAAGCCTAACTAGACAGCCAATGCCAGTGCGTTGATTTAATTAACCTGAATAAAAAGCAAGAAACAGCAAGGGATTCCCGACCACTAAATCCCCTCTACAGTACAGTACAGTAGCCGGCGGTAGACTGGAAGGAAACACTCTTGTACTTTACCGTCCAAATTCCTCCAAAGCACTGTTGACCCCCTTTTCACTCTACTAAGCTCATACTGTACGGTATACAGTACAGTACTACAGTACAGTATAATGGATAGCGGTAATCGATAGATACTTTATACTGTACTGTGCTGTCTAGGACAGGGAGGGACTTCTGACGGACATGAAAGCAGATATTAATAAATAATAATTATAATATAATATTAATGAACTGTATTAAAACCACTGTTGACTCCCTTTCACTCCACTAAGCTCATACTGTACTGTACTGTCTAGGGCAGGGAGGGACTTCAGACGGATTTGATAGCAGATATAATAATAATTAATTATAATATGATATTCATTAACTTAATTAACTCTATTATATTAAAACCACTATTGACTCCCTTTTCACTCCACTAAGCTCATACTGTACGATATACTACAGTATAATACAATGGATGGCGGTAATGGATAGATACTGTATACAGTACTGTACTGTGCTGTCTAGGACAGGGAGGGACTTCTGACGGACTTGAAAGCAGATATTAATAATTATATAATATAATATTTTAATATTCTTTCTTTTGTTGGTCTAAATAATGGTTCTGGCTGGACCAGACTAGAGACCCTTAAGAGAAAGGGTCTCTATAGTACAGTAAGCTGACATTATTCATACATTGTATTGATTAGTATTAACGGTCTGTTGGACAATGACGGGTTACCGTTATGTCTGTAATTTAAGATATGCATGTCGGTTGAGTCATTAAGTGGATGTAATAACAATTCTGCCTGGAATATTAAATGACAGTAGATAAGTTGCGCGTTCAGGCAGGATTTCTTGCCTAGCTCATAACAAGACATGTATTTTAACTTGCCATAATTTCTTATAGTAATCATGTTAATAAGACGCAATCTGTCATGTTTGTAACGCTTTAAAGGGTTAACCTCCTTTGATTGGATGTCTGCTGTTCACTTGTTTAATGCTATCTTATTGTTTAAGTCAAAGTATAAATGCTAGTTATTGCTTTTCTTCTTGTTATAGATTGCTCGTGAGAACTGCTAAAATAAAGTCGTAACCTAAAGTAAGTTGTACTTTTAGCGACTGTTCTTTCGAGTCTATCTAGGAGGGTAGTTCTAGATAGTTTATGCCCCTTAGACAATTGTGACAGGCATCCTTTTAATGCATACTAACGTCTTGTTTTGTCAGAAAGCGCCTACAATACGCAGGCTTATGTGTCCACATACACACTGTACGGTTAGTAAAATCAGAAACTCTTATTCACTCTAAGCCTCGTCCAAGACATACACTTTATGCATATATACAATGACGCAGCTAACGAATGGAACAAAATACGTTAGAACACCCTACCTTAATATATTGTGAATCAGTTAATAACAATTTAGAGATAAAAAAGTACTTGCGGCTATGTTATGTCATTATCATGATACTTAGTAGGTAAGATTCAGGACTTAATCCATCTACGGTATATTAACTGCAATGATTGGAGAGCTAATGTCTTGCATATATCACAACCTAAGTTCATACCTTGTTAGCTCTTAACAGTAGCAAACGCTCAAAGCGAAAACAGAAGTCGGTCATCAAAAGTACGTAGTGTTGATGCTTATTTTATCGTAGTCACTACAGGTTTAATTTTATGCACTAAACATTAGCAAACAATTTAGTAATCATTTACTAGTGTAATGCATAGAAGATTGTATCATTGCTTCAGACGTGATTGCTAATGCAATCTTCACATTCGCATAGTAGCTATATAAAAGTTTTACCATCTATCAATTCTTTTCGGTCACAACATTAAATTCTATACAGTAAGAAACATTGATATTTTCAGGATTGGCTTATAAGGACTAGCAAGTGACATATGTCGTTAAGTAATGCATTTAGCTGAATAACCGTCTACTTCCATTTAAATATCATATTAATATTTGCTAGGTGCATCGTAACGTCACAGCCAGATTGACAGTTTGATTATTTAACCTATCAATTCTTATAAGCCCTCGGTAAACTAAGGACGAGATGTAAGTTTAATCAATCTTTACAGTTGAATAAATCTTCCAAACGAAAGCTTGCGTTGACGTAAAGCCAATTGCACCTACCGTAAAATTGCACAAAGTACAAATCATTGGAATAATTTCTCACTTAGTGAGACGCATAAGAGACAGTAATCGTTATTATAGTACTTACCACACATCAATCCTAGTCCCAAACTAAAAATTATCATGTATCCAAAGTAAAACGTAGTTTGAAAGAAACCATACATCCTGAAAAATTGCAAGGAAACGCGCTTATTCATTACCAACAATATTTAAGCATGGAATAAGTAATGTTTTATCGGCAAATAACCAAAATTATTAATAAAACCATTTTCTTACTTAGTTTTAAAGAAGAAATAATAAATCGAATAGCTATACACATAAATTGAAGTCGATGCCGCAGCTAAGAAGCTTGTCCATTGCCTACAGATCAAAAGAATTTCTAATATCAACAGCGGCCCACATACTGTAGTTGAACAGGAAACTTAACTAGGATCTTATAAAGTTTGCAGAACTAACCATCTATAGTCTTCGGCATTCAATAGAAAATATGTGCACACAATAGTAACACAACTAGTTACCGCGATGAGAATTAAAAATACCAGCAACATAAATCCATAAACGTAATAAATTTTATACGCCCAAAAGGATGTAAAAATAAAATACCTAAGTGAAAGTAAGATTGTAAAGTATCAATGTTTAGATATTATATCAATTATAAGTAATGCAGTATTTAGTGCACGATGATGATGTCAAATAGATAATAGAAATAGAAGACCGTATTTATAGATTATGCCTTGATGCATTCAGTAATATAAAATTGTCATACATTTCAATAAAAATCGATCCAAAAGGGAGCACACCACCTAAGAATATTATAATTCCAGGTTCCATGTACCTGCAAATAGTGTTGCGACCATAATTACATCATCAATTAGCATTGCTGTACTAATCTCTACCCGATCATTTTAAAAAGTTATGTTAAGATCGAAAAATACCATTTCTTATCCGGAATTGGTCGAGGAACTACATTCACTCTACAAGGGAAATGAGTTCCGCTGGATACATTACGACCAAGTACTGTTCCAATCAACGTTAACGGGAGAATAACAAATATACAAATACAAGCAATCGCAACCTATGAATAGCAAAAATGTAAAAGACAATATCTTCAAATTACGTCCTATGTTAATGCAAGCGCAATGGAAATAGACATTGATTTAAACTTTACCATTGTCAGGAAAGGTATCGCTCTTGAGGCGTGATAGTAGATTGCAACGAAGTTGATCATGAAGGCAATTCCACAAACACAAAATGGGAATAATATTGCAGCTAACAGCATTTGCTTTATCCAATCTTTCCCTAGTACAAAAATATTATTAACGATTCTTAATAGTATTATTAAAGTGTATTTTACATAAAACACTAAACTGTAGCATACCTCCTTGTCTAACGTATAAACTGCCACCAAAATAGCCGTTAACAGGCGACATAACCGCGTAAAAAAATATCGTTGTACTTAGTAGTGATCCCCGCCTGAAAGTGACAACAATTACATCCAATTATTAGATAATTACTAGCATTATGATAAAACTTTCGATTTTACTAAAAATGTTAAAACATGACATAAATATAAGCAATAGATCACTTACTCTGTATATAAGTCACCAAATATAGCCACAACTATCACACAGAAAGCAACCAGAATTAACTGGTAACCGCAACCGATTATGGACGAGAATAGCATCAAACTACTAACTGGCCGAAAAACATCTCCATGAACCTGCACATTAAATTAAAATTAGAATTGTATACGTGCCAAATATGTCTCTTTAACGCTTTACAATCATGTAGTAATTATATACCTGTTTCCACCCATATTCATCGCCCAAGTCGCGTTCCTGATAGCAATATTGAAGTTTACTTTAGTCATGTATAAAGTAATACTATTTACTATTAGCAGTAGATGACTGAAATATATTAATTGTTTAAAATTCGGCTGCATAATATCAGTCAACCCAAGCTCGATTACCACCAATAGTGTTACTGCGTGTAGGTACAGATGGTGTTCAAGTATCTAGGAGTTTTCATCTCCACTATCATAGATAACTAACTCATATCCTTACCATGTCATCAAGATCTTCATCTTTATTGTATCGAGCATAATCCTTACGTAATGTTCGCATAAGGATCATACTTACTAGCCCAACCAAAAATATAACCATCATAAACGAGTTAAAAATGGAAAACCAATGGATCTATATGATAATTCTTATGGTAAGAAAATAGTCTAACACCTCTCTCGAGAATATAACGAACACAATCAAACAATGTCTGATTGGGGCTACTAACTTTATGTTGAAAGAATTTCGGATCAAGGTATTTGTCAAATCGATCAGCAAATTTAACGTTTGACTTATGCCATTTCACCTGGTAAAAAGTATAGTAATGAATATACACCATATAGGATCACATGTTTATTTATGTTCTCAATTTGTATCATCAACTATCTCTGCAATAAAGTTTATTTCATACTGTTCTCCAGTAGAGAAGTGTGAGAGGAAAAAAACTGACTTCCCAATACCTCGTACGTAAAAGGAATTTTCACTCCTTTTTCCAGCTTCACTTTTACATCACTGGTCAAATTTACGTATATAATCTATGAGAAAAGTAATAATACATTAATCAAAACTCACAGCACCTTACTAACACCAATAAAACTGTAGAATTCCTTACCTGGTTACCATTATACCCAATGTCTAATTTCTTATGAGTCCACATATAGTAACCTATCCCTGAATCGTCCACAGAGCCAACAATACCTAACAGATCCGTAATAATGTTCGATAAAATGTTTTAAGCTGTGCTATAAGTTTGATTGCTATATAAAACAATGATGAAATTAATGCTGCTAAATTTTTTAAAATAACGATAACAATGCAATCCTCGAAGGCCTTCTTACCCCAAACAGGTAAATCATCTGCAATTAGTAAAAATTTAAAAAGCTAAATTAATGGATATCTTTCAGTACACAGCAACAGTGCAACAATATACAATAAGACAGTAAGGCCCACTGCTGACATAAGAAATAAAATAGGCAATGCTTATTATTATTAGGCCTACAACATACGAGCTACTTACCTAAATACATCTGATACCAGTAATGATTCTTTATTGCATATGTTAGCATATTATATCCATCTTCATCTACTTCTGTGTCACAAAATTTAATTTTTTGTACCTCGCCTAGGTAACAGTTACATGGACGAAAGTTTAGCTTGTTTTATCATACACGATTCGCATTTAGATGTATCTGCTAAGCTTGTACGCATATTTACGCATATGACTAAAGAGTAATTTTCAGCGTATAGTATATGCGCATCATGTACGCAATATACCGCTCATGAGGGATTTCCCCTAAAATATACCGTTCTACGTAAACTCTATTACTGGACATGATAAACAAGTAGGCATACTTTACACTAATAAGCTTTAAAATACCAAGCCCGTATCTAAAATTATTCTACGTAAACTCTATTATTGGACATGATAAACAAGTAGGCATCCTTTACACTAATAAACTTTAAAAATACCAAGCCTGTATCTAAAATTATTGCAGTACATTGTAACGATAATATCAGAGCACATGATTACCATACCTTTGAAATTAATTTCCAGTCCGCTAAATTGCAATTCGGTACCCTGCAAGGCTTCGCCTAATGTTTCATGATAGTGGCCAATTGTTGTCTTTTTACCACGACAAAAGGGTAGACTGAAATATTCATAGGTTTCTTGACGGTTGTGGTAAGGTCCAACGGTATTCATCCACAAAATAACTTCTTCGCCATCTTTGTACTAAAATATTCAATATTATACTGTTACATTTCAGAATGTTCTACACGATACATACACACATTAATGTATGCTGATAATCTGTTGTCAGATTGGAACATCAAAAACTTAGCCATTGTTGTCAGTTAAGATACTTTCTTAGTAAATAAGATTCGACAAAGAAAGCTCTAATGATATCATGAGGTCAAAAAAGTCTAGTGCTTGATACATGTACTAAGACAGTCGCTGCAATTATCATCAGCAACTACTATCATTTAGAGTACGGCAAAGTATTCCAATTTAACATGCTAATATTCATTGGTAAGCCTACAAATAGTCTATATTCAAAGTAGATAAAAAGCTGTGTGCACATACATATCTGATATCATGGACTATGGAATGGAAATTCCCAAGAACAACGCTAATTTGTAGAACTAGAGGGTGTACGGTACAGTATAATCGATAATAATTTATATAAGAACAATTATAGCTAAAATTGAGCAGACAAATTAATAATAATTTAATAGCAGATTTCAACTATTATACTTTTGCAGGAAATTAGCACAATCAGCTATACTTTTAGCTAAGAATACACTATCAATTGTACAATTGAATTAAGTACGGGCATAACTTTCCTAACAAATAATTTTGATCGTGATTCGTTTGCATCACATTCACAAAGCCTAATGCACATTATTGTAAGGACTAGCAAAGACAAGCAACAATTGTCACCATTTTGTAATTCGCCTGCCTGGTAACGTAACGGAAATCAATAATTATGTTTAAATCTAAACACAAGAACTAACTGTTAACTTTATCTTGCCAGATACAATAAACAGCTCAGAACCCTCATTATACTGCTTGTAGTTGTAAAGACCGTCCTGGCTTCAAATATTCTCGATTTTGGCTCCCTCGTTTGCTGTCTCATATTCAGCTATCAATGGGTTACCGATTTTGGTCGTAAAAAATTGAGAGCGGTGTCCATATTCCTGCGGATTCGTTTGTTGCACCTTCTCCAACACTGCTATCAATGTTTTTGAAGGATTCATTCAATGCATCGAATCTCATTCAGAAACTATTCAAAAGTTAACTGCAGTCTTGTAGTAATAATTATAATGAATCGATAACGAACTATTGTGAAATGGTACATTTTAAGCATCGACGCTCAACGGAATAAGAACAACCGAAAGGGCCCCATTCCCCTCGATTACGGGCTTATTTATTACCGACGTCTACAGTGCAGTCAATCGTTGCGACTTTACATTATAGTCGTTATCAGTCGTGCATGAACTATGTATAATTTCCCATCATAGTATTGTAGTGGCGACTGTGTGAAACGCAATAATTCATCTAGCTTTTACGTGTTGCTGCACCTGAATGTGCACACTATTTCGATGATTGATTGGCCTGAGCCATCATTTACAAACGAGGTGAAAATATTGAAAAAACATCAGTTACCCAAGTCTAGAATAACTGTTACGAAAAATCCTAACTGAATGAGTGTAAGGTTTCTTTCTAGCGAGACTATACAATTTTCACTTTGCAGCTGCTGCGGTAGGCAGAGCCTGCTGTGTCATCGGTATACAGTAGCTTGTATGAGTGGATTAGAAGCTTCCAGACAATGCACGCGATGTAATTCATTTTGTTTGGCAAAGGCAAGCTGGAGAATGCTGCTCCAAAATGAGACACTGTACACTGTACTACTGTAAGTACAAACAACCATTGCAACTGACGGCGGAGTCACTGATTATAATATGCCATTAGTAATACTGTACTATTTTGGAGCATCAATATTCCATTTGTTTATAACTTCTGCTTAGTATAATAGCTCTTATCATAGTATAGTAAAATACAGGTGAGCCATTCAAAAATGTTTCCTTCAATCAATAGTAGTAAACGTCGATGAGTGGAAAGAGAGCATTGACATAGTATAGTATCGCTATTGAAGTCTCTTTTTTAGCGCAATTGACTGCGTACTGTCTGCTTGAAATTCAATCTATGCGAATAAAATGGCTGAATGCAATACTTGGCTAATGCAGTGTCTCAAAGACCTTTGGTATGTTGCAAATTTGATCATTTCTATTAATGGTAATGGACGCTGACCAGTGAATCCATGGGATATCATTTGCTTGATTGATTGCTAGAAGACTACTTTGTTGGCACGAGCTGTACTCTACGTCCGTGACAGAAGAAGCAGTGTACAGTACGATGGACGTATTCATTAAACCTATCCACTTGTACTAGCGTGAAAGATAATAGCTAAAACAAGTTGGTGACTTTGAATGGCATATCAAGTCATGTTTAGCTCACTATACAACCGTTATGAAATATACATTAAGAAATGGCATTGAATGAAATGAATTACTTTTGCTGTAAACTGGATTTAGCGCGTGATCGCTTAACAAGTATACCATTAAGTCAGTCATGAATAAATGAGAAGCAAACCTTGTGAGTATGTTCGTCAGCATAAACAGTCACAACCAGAAACAGTAATAAGAAATCAACAATATTAATCCACAATCTCATTTCTTCAACGCAAGGTCTTGCAACGCCGGAATCTCAGCACGATTACTCAACTGCTCCGATATGCTAAAGTGGTAAGCAAAAGCCAGAGATATTCAGCACCCACTCTTCAACACAAGCCTACGGTACTTTTTGCTTTTTGAGTAGGCAACAAAAAGCTTCCCTTGAAAACAACAAGATACAGTACAGTACTGTACATACAGTAAGCTGTACAGTGTACAGTACTGTACCGCGGCGTGTCACTGCTGGACACTGCAATGGGTGAAATTTTCCAGCACACCCCTATCCTGTACAGTACTGTACATTACAATACTGTACTGTACAGTACACGAGTCTACCTGGTTTGCAAGCAGCAGTCTACAGTGTACAGTACTGCAAGACGTAAAAGAAAAGAAAGAAAACAATCACACTGGACTGACTGCCATAAATTACAACGTGTCCATGTTTTTACAGTACATTCAGCACATGGTACTGTACGGTACAACAGGTACAGTACAGTACAGTACAGTACACAGTACTGTGAGTAGGTAACAAAATACTGTACCGTACTGTACGCCTTTGCATACAGTCTACTGTACTGTACTGTACATTGGACATACTGTACACTGTACACTGTACTGTAAAACGCTCCCTTTCCTATGGGCTTTGGAACAGGCGTCAATGCAGCCACGACAGCATACTGGATCATTTTCCATTTTGGAGTATATATGCATTAAAATAGAGGTCAAGAAAGTCCCTAACTTGAGTACAAAACAACTGGCGATGACTTCGTGCCGAGAAGCCCTACTCATTTTATCGGCATCAAATTCGTCTGTAATTTGTAACGAACTCAAATATTCACAGTTTTATCAATCGCTTATCGCTTTTACTCTACCATGGGCTGCGCACTAGATGCACCAAGAATAAAATAAATAAATAAATTCAATCAATTTAATTTACCAACACATGACTCTACAATATACCAGTATACAGTACACATGGACGGTTTGTACATGAAATACTTCTTTACAGCGTACTGTACATCTTTCAAACATGAAATCGGTAACTTTTGCTCCTGCAAATCAGGGGCCAAGGGCAGCCTAGTCAAAATCCATCATTAAGAGCTAATCTAGTATTGCAGTGCACGCCGGATGATGTGCAGTACAGTACAGTGTACAGTACTGTTACCTCTACAGTACATTAGAGTACTGTACACTGTAACCAGTTGTACTGTACTGTACTGAAGGTAAGACTCAAAGACACATACTGTACTGTACCGTACAGTACATGTACTGTAGAGTACTGGACAGGTAAAAATAACTACTGTTCTGTACTGTACTGTACTGGACTGTACAGTGTACAGTGCTAACCAGAGTTGAATGGTTTCTCGTAGCTTCCATTGCACATACTGTACTGTATGAGTCTCGTAACATGAGTCATCATTACTTTCATATCACAATGCAATGTACTGTAGTGGAGCACAAAAGTACGCACTGTGTCAATGTGCATTGTGTAGAAAAAAAAACGACTGCATTGACCAGTCCTGTACAGTATACAGTGACGTTCAACGTTTACTGCAGTTGACTACTGAAGTGGAGTACTGTACCAAGCGTACAACCTCCCTTTTTCCCCACTGTCAAAGTACGGCAGTTGACCGACTAGGATGGTGCGGTCCGTACTGGTACTAGTGCGTGATACGCATATAGCTTCGATGACTAGGCCATCGATCACTTACTTGTAACGTCCATCTTACCATGAGGAAGTGTCTTGTTCGACTTGATTGAATTTTGGGCAAGCCTTGCTTCAATTGTAAGTAGAAGAGATTTGTGTACTATTTTATGACTTCTGCATATTACAATTCCGATCGAGGTAGGATTATGAACTACTCTAGTCTATGATAATGATGGCGGCTACACCTTTTAATCCATTTTTCATAGCACGATTAATTCAATCCAACTTGTTCATCAGCGACTCTATTCTTTTACAAGCTATCGTACAGTAAATTACTTGAAATGGATACCCGTCCGCTGGTTTGTCAAATGTGCACATAGTTATAGTGCGATAGTTTATCAAACGTTTGTAAAAAGTTCTCCCTGACCTTCAGTACACTAGCACGTGCTGTTTGAATCTGCAGCCAGTAAATGGATGATGGCCATCAAGCAGCAGAATCTTACATATACTGTATATTAGAAGGGCCCCGTATAGTAAAATATTGCCACTATAACGGCACTACTGCATTGCTACAACGGCTACATGGCTAGGTAAGAGCGTCTCGTTTGATCACACTTACTTGCACCGTTTCAACACATCATGACAGCAATGCCATGGAATTAGTTGCAGTACTGTACGAAGGATTTGCGATCAACTTGTGGATAGCCTGTATCCATCATAGCTTCAACTTCAAGCGAGACTGCATAAGTTACAGCTACTGTATTGTCACGGCGTTCACCAACTTGTTACTTCTAGATTTTACACTTAACTACGTAAATTGGAGAATCTTCCCCTGTAATGGAGATAACGCCTGTTGTAAATGGCTTACTGTACACACTTTGTGTGTACTGTAGGTGGTATGCAGGTATTTCAAGTGTTTTATTTTATTCCTCAAATCCCTATCTGCTATACTATAATTGATGCACATGCATCTGACGGATTCGTTTCCTCCAATCAGATTTTTTTTAGTTTCTATTGCATGTCCCTAGAAATACCACTTACAGCATGACAGCTTTCAATCTTTCTTGCTAGATGATGATCACGTAGCAATAATTGAATGCATTTATCCAACTCGATATGTGCACTCTATCATAGTAGATAATCTACAAGTTCACCAGTACAATCACTGGTGCGGTACGATAGCCAAGCAGGAGTACACCTTCTAGAAACTTGGATCAACCATGATTCATGAGTACTGCATTGAACGCTTTCAGCTGAAATTGACTTGTTGGGCTGCGACGTAGGCCATTGATGAATAATTCAATCACTACCACTTGCCGCGGTACTGTAATTTGTAAGACATTACTATACACTACATAGATGCTAATGATGAATGCTGGGAACCCCCTGGCTGACATCATCCACTAAAACTGCTCGCCTTCCTATTCTATACCTGTAGTAGACATTGTGAATGGATATTACCGTATTATGATGCGAGTATAATGATGCCCTGGCACATAAGTGATTTAACCAGCTTAGCCCAAGCATTGAGAATTACAACACGAATCAAGTTTCTACATTTCTACTCAATACGTGATTTGAGACGCACACTTGCTAAGCTCGTTATCCCTGCGCTGCTAAAGGTCACTAAATCGCTGTCTCCAGTGGCTCATTGAACTTGGTCTTGATTGCGCAGTCAACGCACATTGCTGCTGTTGCTGTATAGTATACTATATGCTGTAGAAGTAGAAGCTAGCCTTTTTTTATTCAATGACTGTTCAAATTTGTATGCCATTCCAACAACGATCTTAGCAACATGATTGACTGTAAAATGCAGACCGATAAAGTTCTATCTCAAACGACTGTAGTCACGAGTTCCAATACACTACTAAATCGTCTTGGATAGTGTAGCCCTTGACGACGATGTCCGCCATACTTGCCCGCGAACTCCTCTACGACAGACCACTACTGGACGCGTATTGGCTACGGTACCAAGCATATCGGCGATAGATACTATCTGACAAGTCCCTGACGGTAGAGTACAGTACAGTACTGTAGTAGCGTCAATTGCATCAGACAGACGTAGAGATGGAAGTGTTGGTATGGTCAGTCGGACAAAGTGTCAAGTGCTGTAGTGATACTGGACCGCGAACCGGACTGGTGCCAGATTATGAAAGTAAAATCTGCGCAGGTCGTCTGGTACAGCTCGTGCATTGTTGTGACGGTAAAGTGCACTGACCACAGTCATGAGATACTAGTTCTGTATAAAGCGCAGGTCAGCAAGGAAGCACCACACCTTTCTCCATAGTTGTATTTCTGTTCGGCTGTGCATGGGGCAGAAACTTTTCTACCTCGCATTCTAGTTGGAACAGTTTTATTTTGATCGTGAAAAATCTCCGTGTTGCTTCACAGGGGTTTTACTATAGTTAGTCCAACTTGTGCTGTAATGGAAATCTTCGGTGATAGATAATCATAGAAAGTAAAAGGTACAAGGATGCTGTCGTAACGCTAAGTAGAAGGAGCGAGGGATCGACAGGATCGTCTTGTGGAGACGCCTACTGGATATGTAATGGCATGCTCAGATGATTGATTATCAATGTGTTCGACAAGATTGGACATGGAGTTCATGATAGTTGACTAACGGTGATAATCATCCAATAGATAGAAGTACTTTTAATATAGTCAATGGTGTGTTAGTTGATGAACGATATTTCGATTTTTGTTCAGTTGTCTCGCATACGACAGCAATAGAATTACAGCATTGAAGTAATACTGTATATTGTAGTAGCTGATTGTAATGAGCTGGACTCAGTCCTTCGTCAAGAATGAATAAGAATAGACCTTGGAATGATCACCAAAGCAACAGTAATAGTGAAAAGAGAGAGACGGATTTTTCTCTGAACCTCTCAATAAACACTTTGTCTAGGTGCTGAGCTAGGAACCAAGTTCTACAATTCAGTTATTTGCTATAGAAACGATCCACGACCATGGATGGATAAATTGTTACTTCCAATATTTCATAGTATACAAGTCTATCGTTCAACTACTGATTCAGTGCTGTGCAAAATATTATTGTTTATTGTTTCGAATACTGTGGATTGCACAACATTCCTCACGAGTAGTATGAGCGCTACTGATCAGAGTTGGTAAACAACTGTTCAATTGATATTGTCGACCTTGGATACAGCAGCATACGCATTCATTTTGCTCTTGTTGAAATAAGACAACGGGATTATGATTCCATGATACTAGTCTTGAACTGTTATTACAGTTATGATAGTTGCAAACTTTCAAAAAGAGTGATATCTTACTAATCGTAGCTTAACCCTATGCTAGAACATGAATTATCTCAAGTAGTCGAGTAAAATAGTGTACAATACTACATCTTATTTTCTCTGTCCCAATTCGTAAATTAGTGTTCGTTAAAATTATGTAAACTAGATGATGTACACTCGTTTTTATCAACACATAACATACACATAGGCCTAAATGGTAAGAAATTAATAAACTATCCATCAAAAACAATTTCCAATGTAGTATAGTCTTTAAGTAGATGCCTAAAGTAAAAAGGATAAATTGGATGACTGATCTATGCTATATTACTAGAAGTATATGTGGAACCCATTATTCATAATTTCAATCTTCAAATATAATTCCTTTTCCAGGTACAGAACTCAATCATGGCTAGTGAAAATGACTCAGTAGATATCGACTCACTGGATAGCAAAGTAATTGGTACGGAATTTGTCCGCCGCTACTACACCATGCTACATGAGAATCCGAAAGAATTGTCCAAGTATGTGACTTCTATTTCCGTAGCATCTTTTTTACGACAGAGTATTGAAAGATGATACATTTCCGACAATCTGATTTGTAGAATTAGGTTGTAAAGGACTCTCTCTGGGTCCAAATGATAGAATCGAATATTAAATAAATTATTACTGTCATAGGATACAATTGGTTATGGCCAATCGGCCATCATTGTAGACCATGTTCTATAAATTCTGTATTGTATCAGAATGTAAGTTATGATTTCCTTGTAGATTTTATGGTAAAGAATCAGTCTTTCTTCATGCTGATGATAAAGATGGATCCAGTGATAATGCCGTTATTGGTCAAGAGGTAAATTAAAATAAATTACCTTTGATATATTTTTGAAAATTACGATCTAAAATAAAGGCGTAATTAAACAGAGCAACTTGCTTGTAAACTTTTTTTAGGCTAACATTATCCAGAAATTGTCTTGATTAAGCTATTATTAAATATTTAACTATTATATATTGTAGAGCATCGTCAAGAAGATAGAATCTCTTGAATTGAGTGATTGTTTTGCTAAAATCAAGCAGGTTGACTGCCAGTCGACAGTTGCTGATTGCATTTTGATCCAGGTAATGGGATTGTCATTGATGCTAATAACTATGTAACGAACAGTATTTTGGGCACTTCAAAACTGAAATTGAAAGTTCAAATTTAATAATTAATCTTTTATTTCATCACAATAACATAATGAATTGTTACCTATGTACGAAAAAGTATATATAGTGGTAAACTTAATATCTGGATGCTGATGGTGCAATGCTTGACGGAAACAATAATTCTTTTTCAGTAACTTATGAATTACGTTAAATTTACTATAATTTCAGGTTTCTGGAACCTTTACTCATACGAACAAGCCATGGCGCCCATTCGTACAAAGTATATTGTTGGAGCGAGAGGTAAACTACTACATTTAGTCCTTTATTCTATATATAGCGTCAAATTAGTTGTTTTAATTTCTTGATTACTTTACGCTATTTAACTGTATACTTCAAATGTTCTTAATATGTATTTGTTGTACGTAAATTAGTCACCAAACCTGTACTATGCCCGAAACGATATTTTTCGCTATCAGCCACCAAACGAACCAGAAGGTGGAGATGACACGATCGACCTTGAGGATGGTAAATAGGCGTTCATGTAGCATAATTTCGTAGCTAAATTGAATGAAATTACATCAGTGATACAAAGTCACTTAAATTGTATTTAGCTGAAGAGCAGGAAGAAGCTGAAAGTGTTAAAGATACTTCCGAAAATGTTCCTACTGAACCAGCAAGTGATCAAACGAACGATGATGAAGCAAGCACTAGGTTAACATTAATGCCGCAATTAAACTAACAGAAATTTATTTATTGTACTTTTTATGATATTCATTAATTGACTATATTCCAGTAATGAAGATCAACTGCAAAATTCAGAAAAGCCTTCCCCTGCTGCTAAAAGAGTAAGCTACTTTTTTAACAATTCTTACACTTAGAGAATTAATTTTATTAAAATTTCTTCTTAATTGTGACAAAGAATGCAGCTGATGAGCAAAAATCGGAATCCCTTTCAAATCAGCAGGATAGCTCCAATCAAGTCTCTGATGTTCAAGAACAGGATGACTCAAAGGCCGACGGAAATAATGAATCGGCGAAAAAGGATGCTGGTAAGATACCTATCTTTCATTTTCTACTTTTTCGTATTACGATCTGGCTGAATTATCAATATCTTGCTTATATTGTTATTAAAGGTGTTCGTACGTGGGCAGCCTTGGCCGGTAAATCGCCTGATGTTCCTATCAATACAGAAGCTGCACCGAAAAAAGTGATTCGCGTAAGTTGTATTATCGAATCAATAATGCAAAATATATACACAAATGTTTGATTAAAGAGATATTGTAACGAATTGGTGAATTCTGTTACCTGCGTGCATTAATTTACCTTACTGTTTGATAAAACAGAAACCGGTTGAAAACTCAGGAAAAAGCTCGCGTTCCAATCAGCATCATAAAGAGGACGGCCAATCGCAACGTTCCAACAATTTCCGAAATTCATCGCAACGCGATGGGCAGCAAACCGATTATCAAATCTTTATCGGAGGATTAACTCCCGAGATCAGTGAGAAAGAATTGCGAAATGAATTTTCAGGTATAAGATATGAATTCTTTCTGACGGAGTATAATGATTTCGATAATAACAGCGTATCTTTTAAAATAGTATTTGGCGAGGTCAAGCACATCAAAACTAATACATCAAAGGTTAGGAAATTAGGATTAACAATCGGATTGCATTTGAAGAAAAATGATTATTTCTGAATAATTAAAGTAATTTTGCGTTAACAGGGCTTCGGATTTGTTAGTTTTGAGAACGAAGAAAGCGTTAAGAGGGCTCTAACTACTGAGCTGGTACGCGAATTCTAAATTAGTTGTCTTTATAAAGCAAATATTATTTAATCTCTTATTTAATCTCTGTAAGTCATGTTTGATGAATGGCATGCTTTTGTACTGCATCCAATATCTATAGAAAATTTTTGTCGGTAAAACGCAAATAAATATTGAAGAGAAAAAGAGCTCAAACGTTCGCCATGACAATCGCAGAGGCAGAGATGGAGGACGTCATTCTGGATTTCATAATAGGCAGAACAGATCCGGCGGCTATCGTAGCGGCGAAAGAGGCAGCGGAAGACGTCAGGACAGAAACTAAGAAGCTGTTCTTGTTATCCTTGAGCTACTGATACCGTAGGCGCTAATGATGTGATTTTTTAGTCTATTAGTTAGTAGATTACTGATGCTGATAACATTACGGAACGAATGTAGTTTAATATGTGGTTTTATAACTTACTGTAATATTGTTGATATCGCTTTAGCTTTACTGTTTACAACTGTACTGTAAACCGTAAAAAACTGCTTGACGTAGAACATTAGCACAATTCACTGGTAGCTCTCATCTCTTTAACTTCAACTACATTCTCTACGCAATATTTTTTAGATAAGTTTTTTGCCCGTAAAAAGTTATTGTAATTTTGATAGCATCCATTTATTTGTGTCTAGTATTATTGTGTTATGATAGCGAAACAGCCCACATTTATATAGTAATACTTTTACGCTAGAATTGCATGCAGGTCTGATGTTCTTTATTGCATACCAAATATTTAGCGTATCCGTCTCGCTTAATAGGAACTAACTACTTTGTACTTTGTAATACTACTATTTGTAATGAACGATACTGTAATTTGTTATCATTTACATGTAAGTGAATTGGAAACAAATTCTATTCTTGTGGCCACAACCATGTAAATTAGAGATGTTTTCTTTACTTCTTTTTTGTACGAAGCTATGTATCGGATAGGAAGATGGATGATGTCGAAACAATGTATTCATGGTTAACCAATTAATATTAAGAATGGAGTGGCGATTAAAAATAACGTACTGTATGATAAAGGTGCCAACCATGATAACCAACTACCGTTAGTTAAAAAGGGAATAGAACGCTTTGCGTTGTTTAATTCAATTGTTGTTGTATGGTGGAAATGTCAATGCCATTATTAAACAAATTAAAGAATACGGTTCAAGAAATGCGTGTTGGCATATCTATTGTTTCGTTGACTACTTTGCAGATCAAGATGTATCATTTAAATTTATTACTGCATAACATTGTACCGCGTTATCCAAACTTGTGCAGCTAAGATAGTAACAAAATGAATATTACAATAAACAACCGAGTACTCTTTTTATGAATTCTCTTGTCTCTTGTTACCCCTTTTTGTATACTGTATTATTATGCCACATCAAGCAGCGATCATGATTATTGCTAAAAGTTCCCAAAAATATACTCGCAGGTCAATTATCTGTAATAAGCCAATGAATTCATGGTCACGATAACAACAGTGCCGTACTAGCCGTCGCTAAGTTAATGTCTATGTGATTCCTATGGATTGTTTTTAATTACATTATTGTCAATCTTGCTAGAACTAGTTATCTAATCGCATGGTAAGTGGTAAGGCGGTAGTAGAACTTGAGGTGTATTTCCATCTTCCCCGAGATAGTAACTCTTGATGATTACTTAGTCGTATGATATGTACGTTATTGGACTGACGTTAATTCATCTTCTGAGTCAATAGTCACAGAAGATTGATACGGTAGTACTTTTATTACAAGTACAGCAGTGATATTGCTTTTAAGGAATATTTTATATAAAGTATATGTAGCATAACTAGAAAGATAAAAATTTTAGTTATTCAGGTATTGGTATCGTTATCCTTTACTTTAAAAATATCATGCGAGAAATGACAATCGGTAGCATGGACTTAAGAAAATATTAATCATTTCAATAAGCATAGAAATGACAGTAAATCAAAAATTTGGTGATTTTGCAATAGTTATTTATTTCCATAGGCTATTACATTATTTATCCCTGTTAAAAATTGCAAACATCAGCACACACTAAAGATAATTTTCAGATTATAGTTGTCGGATAAGTACAAAACTGTGATATAATAACAATTAAACGTCAAGCCGCTATCCATGATAATGGCCCATGAGCTAAAACCTCTTGACATGAAACATTGGTTTAGAATTTTAAATGCAGAAATCAATGCACAAATTAATATAACTTATTATCAAGTTAAATTACTAGCGCATACACAAATAGAATTAATAAATATAGGCAATCATCGAATCTACAATAATTCTCTCTCTATTTAAAAAGCCAGCTTAGAGGGTAGAGGGATCAAAACGAGCATAATACCGTACATTGTACAAGTGTACACACATACCAATAGGCAATCATCGAATCTACAGCAATTCTCTCTATTTAAAAAGCCAACTTAGAGGGCGAAGGGATCAAAACGAGCACAATACTGTACAAAAGTGCATACCAATAGGAAATCATCGAATCTACAATTCTCTCTTTTTAAAAAGCCAACTTAAAGGGTGAAGGGATAAAAAAAAACATAATACTGTACAAGTGTACATACCAATAATTACAGTGCTAATCTTAACTTGAGAGTGCTTTAGATCTTTAAGTTAATTATAATCGAAGCCGCTACATTTATCAATAATCCTTATATTATAATAGTGAAAGTTTAGATCATGATTGATTATTATCACTGATGCCGAGCGATAGATGCCCAGATAATAATATCATCGTTTACTTCCATCACTAATATCAAATACTTTTAGATCGTCATGATCAAGTCATCATCATAAACAGCAAATGGTATTGTGTTAACCTAATCGAAATTAATCCTAATATAGGCAATAATGACAGCAATTAATAAAGCACTGTCAATTTTGATAAAATTAGTACACTTGGTAATAACGCTAACATTAACACCATCATATGCACATAAGGAAGCATATATATAATTAATAGGCATACAGGATACAAGATTATTTGGTATTAGTGTCCGTGCTCAGATATAAATCTATCAACTCGAAATTTAGATCTCTATTTATATAAAAAATGCTAAAATAGACGTGGGTTTAATATCAAATCAGATTTTACTCGTACGATTTATTAATCATAAATGATTTATGATGATTAGAGTAGCTATTACTTGATCGAGCAGAGTGAAAAGAAAGAATACGATCGATCTCAGCGAAAGGTTTGGGGGTAGTCATCTTCTGTAATCGCTGTGAAAATGAATTAAAATAGTAAATATTTGGCTTAAAGAATTCTTTGTTATCTTTATATTAGATTAAATTTTAATAAATATAGAATATTATTAGGTATACGAGTATACGTACAACTAACTATGTAACACAAACTACAACATTCCGAAAGACTTCAATTCTACTAATTTATTTATCCTTCAATTTAATTTCTGGCGATTATCCATTACACTTGCATTCTAATAGCACGAATGAAATCTTTGCACTTGCAAAGTTATCTACAATAACATTTATAATTTACACGGCACTAGCTGTCAATTGCAAAGAAATTAAGCAGCAGTTGCAAACCTATTACTATTATCATTCGTATTGTATATTCGTAGATTTCAAAAATTTTTACGGAACTTCCTTAAATTAATCATCATCAAATTAATGCACTACGCGTCGATACGGTTGGCAGTTAATGTCTATACGATAATTGATATAATGAGGAAATATACCTGCACTATACTTCCTTTAGCACGAATAAAAGAAAGAATAACAGAAATCAAGATGCAAACGAGAATTGACCCCGCCATTAACCATCCAGTAAGCAGTGACCACCAATACTGGGCAAATTTAACATTTGAGCCAGGAGAGGAATAAAAGATTACGCAAAATAATGTTGTGCCCTACAAGTAAAAAATTCGGTAGTCCCATTAATACAGTGTTTTTAATCAACGGTCTATATAAATCTTAAATCATAACATTTAAAGAAAAATAACTTCTAACCGATAAGTTTACTATTGAACGAACTACTATAGTAAATACTATTAATTTGAGTTACAAATTTTGTTTACAAAATTAATGTTTTCAGAAGGATTCTAGCTGCATATTTTAATTTAATTTTGATACATAGTTAATTTAAATCGTTCAAAATTTTGAGTGATATCTTGTACGTATATACTAAAAAGAGCCTAAGCATCACTGAAAGATGTATTAGGAGATAGGAAGTAAAAATGCATATCATTAGTCAATCTTAGATTTACCGTAACAATTAAGGGCGTGGGAATATACCATAATATTTTCCATAGGATGGATAGCTTTTCTCCTGCAATAACTGAAAAGTCTTTGCGTAATCTCTTTACACCTAAATAAAATTATAAATCTAATTCTTATTCTGACAAATTTAATAGCTATTGAGTTACACACGTTTATCGCTACATATAGGCACTCCTAAGCGTTATATGGAGCGTATATGTCGATGAAGTTTTATTAAACACAATTACTGATATTATAAATGCGATTGCTGTATTGTACTTTATTATAGTTAGTTTTGCATCTTAACTAGTGTAATGAATCTTAATATTTAAAATTCTCCTTAATGATTTTTTATTGTAATAAATATTGTAGCTTCAAAAAAATAACTGATTTGATTTCATTACTGTGGATTATACTTAGTAGCTTAGTATATTGTGAATCTGGCTACTTTATTCGGATTAGAATTTAAAAATGTCCTGTAGCATAGCATCGTTAAAATTATAGAAAGCAAAATTTTAATTAAAGTGATATATATAATTGGTATAACATTTACGCTTCAATTATCAAAAAACTGGCAGCTGATTTCGATCATAAAAAACAGTAGAAGTTACGAAACTTGGTCGCCGAATACAATGTAAACGCAAATTTTTTGATCTAGGTCCTAATTAAGATTGCTGGTTCGTCTTAGTGGATATTTATAGTTATGTTCTGTATGTGGTAGAAAGATATAATTTATAGATAAATAATGATTATACGTGTAATATTATTATTAACGTAGTAATTTAGGGAATCGAAGGTAGAATTTATCTTCTCATATGTGATTAATTGTCATTTTAATTTAGAATACTTTAGGGTGATAAGTTGATAGTCTGATACCATCAACTGCTTTGCGTAGAATACAAAAAAGCAATGTAGTTCAGTAGTTGAGTAGTTCAAGTCAGTAAAATAAGACAGTAAAGGTTAAAATATTCCTAAAATTGTGAGTTATCTCATTTTTTGGACAGTTTAGTTGGTTGAGGGAGTAGTTTTTCCCTAACTGTCAAAATAAACTAGTATTTTCTCCGAAAGTCAACTTAAGTTGGAATTCAATGCAGTTATAATAATTTTACTCCTATTCTTATTTTAGAATGCAATTTTAATATAATCAAATGCTGTAGAGTAACAGTACGATACCTATTTCTATCGAATTAGTTATCAGAAGGTCAGCAGCAAGTACAGAGAAGCACTAGTTATTTATGACCATCAATCATCGTTGGTAGGCAGAATTTGTTAATTCTACTAAATTTTTATCCCTAAATTTATTTCATACTCGATACCGTGTTTGAAACAACCTATAGATTGGTCAGCTTACCATATATCCAACAGGCTATAAAGACTTCAAATATTAACACACACGGTAAGCAGATTTTCATGACGTACCAGTCAAATAATTGAAAAACGTATAAACCGCCCTAGCATATTATCGTAAATAAAAGTTTTACTTACAATATTCGATAACACTAGGCTAAGTACGTAATAAATTTCACTAATAGAAAGTTTTGATCATCTCACTTTACTAAATATTATAAAGTATTAATACTTTAGCTGTAAAAGTATATCAAAAATTCAATATTACATTTAAACAGTACACTATTTACCTTGGTGATGCATGTCATGCCTAACAGATATTGAACCAAAGTTAACACTAAATAAATCATCGTTCGACGATTATATAACTGATCGGGGAAAGCATCAATTAAACCAGACGCGATAGACTCTGAGAAAGCGCACTGTAAATTGAAAATTAAATTACTGCTAATTAGAGACCAATTATTTAATTTTATAAATATGAAAAGTAACAAAATAATGTCACAAAGTAACATTGGTTTTTGCAAAAAAAACTCAGCTACAAATGAGAAGCTAAAACTATACTAAATAAGCAGAAATAAATTCGCATCTTTTGTGTTCTTCTTTTCAATATATTTAATACAGGATTTAGAACGCTGCCTCCTTAATTACATATACCAGACCTGGTTATCGAAGGCAATGAGAAATATCATCAAATAGAACATGGCCGACCACAAATGACCTAATTGTAATACCCCAACACTGGTGGGATAGACAACGAAAACTAACATTGAACCAATTAAGCCAGTTTCTAAGGCATAAAATTAATAAAAGTAACCTACGTCAGACGATTATAATCAATAGGCATTGATAACGGATAAAAAGATACAATAATAATTATAAACGTATAACTAAATATTGACGCCAACTATGCTTGCTCTTACCCTGCAGCTCCAGTACATATAAACTAATGTTAGAAATTCAAATTTATTATTTATTAAATTGCGTATAATCTACCGTCTGATGTAATTTGATTGATCAACACAGGCCTAGAACCCAATAAAGAACCAATATTCAACAACAACGTAAAACAAAAGAGAATACTTGTAGCAAAATTGACAGCAGGAATGGCAACACCGAATCTGCTAAATAAATGAGAACAAATATAATATTAGCCTAGTTAGTGCATGGGATAAAATAGAATAACTATTCTAGTTAGTTAGGCGTAATGTAATCTACGTTCTATAATCCATTAGCATGAATTATGTAAAAACCGAGAAAGAAATATGGCTTACAATTATTATTAGCTTCTATATTAGGCATTTACAGAATTTATTATTAAATGCCACTTCACTTGGAATTAAAAAATGTTTTACTGTATATTTTACTAAATTTCATATACGAAATGTAAGAAATACAGATAAAGTAAGCCATATATTAAAAACTACAACCTGCATTTCTTCTAACCTAATAAACTTGTAATCTCTCTTATTATAGGAAGAATAAGTTATGATAGGCCCGAAACCCACTCCGAGTGAAACCATAGCCTGTAAGCTGGCATCGCCCCAAAGCTAAAATATTAGCAGTTAATAAGTCTAGGCATCATGAATTATTTAAATCCGCTTTAATATATTTGGATAATAATACAAGGACGTAGATATCTTTGTTTACTAGCGTACAAACTATTCCTAAGAATATAGCTGTCGTCAAATTAAGCATATTTGGTAACATTATCAAACCTCAATATTTTGTAAGCTACTGATATTTGATTTCCAAAGAAATTTTGTGATCCCCGCTATATTGCCTGGCGCTGCTAAACCCCGGATGAACAAGATGACAATGATAAGATATGAAAGTGCTGTGGTTACATATGACGCCTATAGAAGAAAGAAAAACCATTCAAAGCTCTTATTAATCACTTTGGTCAACTTCCAAATATAATACATTGATCTGAGTTTCAAAATTATAATAATTTTACAAATTAATTAAATCCACATTTTTGCTATCCTTGGCTCTCAAGCACCAAAAATTAAATTTGATAGAATTAAAGAAAGATTTAATACTGATATAAATGTTTAATCAATAATATAAATTTTCTGTTGACCAACAGTACGTTAGATTTCACCTCATTTAAATTGATAATAGAAACGTTAAAAATAGATAAACTGAAACGAATGGAAACTACTGTAATCAGTAATGGTATCAGCTAATTTTATACCCTTTCAGGATAAAAAGCGTACTTATAGCATTTAAGTTAGATACTAATTTAATCAGTTCGCCTTTTTTTAGACCAACCATAATTGCACCTACTAAAGCTACTTTAAATCTAAAGAATGAACAAGTCAATATCGCTTTTACCTTGCCAGAAACAAAAATTCCTTTGAAAGAAACAAGATATACCATCAGCCAGCATATAGCTAGGTAAACAGCCATATCAATCTTAACTGCTCCAGGTAATAAAGGATTAGTCGTTAAGTCTAAGACTTGATTTCTGGACAATTAGCGTCAATATTCATAATTTCATAACGGGAAATAAAAAAAAATGAGACTTTATTAGTCAAAATAATCTATAGATTGCTAAGTAATACCGTAACCTAAAGATGTTGATATATTGCAAAAGACATGTTACTGCCAATAATTTAATTATTTGCTTTAAATCGTTAATGAAGTAAAATCTGCAATAAAAATTCTAACAATCTTCGATCTCAAAGATCGCATTGCAGATCTAGGTATATGTATTTATTCCGGTGATTGCTATACCGTAAGCTAGCATAGTTTTTCATTAGACTGCAAGCGTTACCGTGTGTAGAACACAGACAACTGGATTATGATTTTAATGGATAAACTGAAGCAAAACTAGACCAGTGATGGAATAAAGTAAGGAAAAAACACTTGGTGCCGATCGTGAGATCGATTAAATGACAGCAGCTCCGTTATTATAAGTACTGATGGCTATACCTACAATATCAATCATCTATAGACTGTAGATTTATATATCTAGTACAGTAAGTTTACTAATTTGACTACTTTATAAAATAATAAGAGAGGATGCGACATATTGTTACAATATGACTAAAGACTTATATTGTATGGCATCCCTTTACAATAACAATTTTGTTGCATTTCATAAATTATTCTATTATTAACCATAATTTTATATTAGCAAAATATGCCAATATCTATAGTCTTACCTGAAATATTCATTACTTGACAGAACACCTACTATATCTTTATTAATATCGTTGACACTAATACAATGATTGGTATTCCAAGTATTATTGCATGTAGTCCATGGTAGAACCGGCTGAAAAGAGTTAATAAAATAATGCAAGCTCCATACCATAGGTACAACATGGAAAATAGACATAAAGAAGCATAATGTAATCATCGCACCGCCGACACCTTAAATATGAAATACAACGGTAGAAATCTTGTTAGTAGGTTAATGAAGATCGAATAAACAAATTTTTAAAGATAGTACAAAGTGCTGTGTGCACGTCTATCTAGCATTATTATGTATTATAGGTTTACCGAATTTCTTTAGCATTAATAAATGTAAAATGCTAATGCTAACAAGTGCAATTAAATCTCTTCTATCTTAGTATCGATAAAATGTAAAATGTCAAAGGTATAAAAAAGAAGCTCAGGAACAGTAAGAACAAGAGCAGAGTCTAAGTAGATGCACAAAGTTGGTTAAATATTTGACAAAATTCTATAAAGTATACGTCCAATGCTCAATATAGCTTGGGACAAGTATAATTTATTACGTAATATGAGGCTTTTCGCTGTATTAGTCTTAGGAAAGGAATCACAACATTACTAAAATAATAGCTAACTACATATTATTTCATATTGAAATACACTACAATCGGTTCTTTTTCGTAATATGCTGATTGAGAACATAAACCATTATCTTTATCTATGGCTAATGTACGTATTATCTACATCTAGCGAATATAGTAAATAGGCTTGCGACATAAATTGCCTGTATTTAATGAATCAGATGAAATCCTATTATTTTCATCAACTTCCCTACTTTTTAGTTCTTAGCTTTAAAGGTAAATCATAAATCAACATGTAGTACGAAACTATCCGATAATGATAAACGAGTCTATATATGACTTGTTTAAGAAATATCTCAACATAAGGTCATCCGCTATTCAAAGACTGAAATCTACAAGTATTTACTTGCTATACGTTTGCCATTTCTCAAAGAAAATCAAACCACGAAATTTACATTCTTGCGGCTGTAATTATTAAATGTAAAAATGTGTAAAGTACTAGAAGACATCATTTTTCTGCGGGTATTAAGCTACCTGCGTATAATCGTAGTATCTGTACAAATACGCTCATATCATATTAAAATTTTCAACATATTCCATCATTACTAAGTATGGCTCTCATGAGATAGTCCATAAGTGGATTGATAAATCTTTTCAACTGTTTGATAAATCATAAGTAATAGCGATTACATTGTCAAACTTACCGTGAAACAGTGGGCACATGCGTGCGAATACTATCGTCGGGCCACGTTGGTAATTTTGTCCGACGATCATTTCAATTAGAAATAAAGGTAATCCGCAAAGGAGGAATGCCAAAGCATAAGGAATAATGGCAATAACTATACAAGAAGCATTAAATATAAGATAGTTTAAAGTTTATGTCAAGAGAAAAATTCCGATGTACTTTACCAGTTATAATATTCATCATTTGAATTTAGAGAGAACTAGAATAATTAATAAAAATAATAAAGTGAATTATATATCGTCATATGATAGATATTCGCTGCGGTAGTACACATTATGTCGAGGTTGTTATTGTGAGCCATTTCTGCAAGTTTTCAAATGCTAACAATATTCTAACCCAGTAGATAATGGCATTATTTTATTCATTCCTCAATCAAAGGGATAAATCGAATTGCTTATGAGGTATTTATAATTGCAATTATCTCTTTAATAATTAGAAACAAGTAGGTATTTAGTGTTAAGAAATCATCAACTGCAGTCTAAAAATTAGGCCAAATTGGGTTCATATTTACACGTATTTTAATTTAAAATGCTCCACTAAACACCATATGCATACAATCCAAAGTTATCAAATCTTGCGCAACTGTATTTGGTTAATTACAGTTGATTAAACTTCTAAATGACTCATAGACTGCCAAATAGTAACTTTCAGTAGTTTATTGAAAGCTATCGACTGTACTGTACGATTATGTATGACAGAATCAGACATTTCTTTAGCCAACTATTTATTATACATAGAGGGATACTGATGGTTAATATTCATGATCATACGAGCGAATTGTAGTAGCACAGATAAAGTGTGATAGCTCTGGAAATAGTTTTGAAGTTATAGGGATTGACAATTCAGAAATTTCCCCTTGTAATTAATTTGTTATAGCTACCCTAGTTGCAGACCTACATTTTATTTTGCCATTCACCATTTCAATCAGCCCTTCACCAAAATAAATTTGTAAAAAAATTTCTCTTAACTACATTATCGGATGATTTGAACACTCAGTGTGGCAATATTACGCCAATCTATCATTCACGATAAACACAAGTTATTTGAAATCTTAACATTCGTATAATGATGATATATTTGATTGAAGCAGCAGGAGTAATTTATTACGGATGTACAGATTTCTAGATGAGCATAATTGGTGACTGCTCAGGCAATATTGGGTGAAATGGGATACTTTACTATTTAACACGTATCCTTATGACTTTCAAAAAGAAATATGAGAAGATTTTTGCATTGAAGTAATTTCATTCTAATCAGCTTACGTCATCTATTAATGGCACATCGCTATAGGTAAGCCAACAAGATTTACGTACAGATTAAAAAGCAATTTGGATTGCTTCGTTTTCATTTTGTGCATGTGTGTCTATCTACTAGGACTAGTCTACGAGGTTAAAGTTTGTCAGCTGTCATTTGGTGATTAAACCCATATTGCTTCCTACATTGTAAATGATGTAAACAATCATGAACAGTATCCAAGGCGTAGGATTAATCACGTTACTACCCCATATTTTCTTAGATTTTTGTTTATTATTTAGATGAATTTATAACTTACGTATTAATTAAAAACCTTCTCGTTATGTTATGCACGAACGATAAAATACAATAAACACTATAATTATAAAATGTTTAGGCATATTTTAATGCTTTATTTATCTAGCGTTATCTACTAAATAGAAGTGGTAAGATCTAAATTTAAAATAGATTGTCTTAGATTTATTTTGATCTGTTTGGGAATGGATATCGCTATTCGATAGTGAATTGAAATAAATAAATAAATACATATACTGAAGCCCATGAAAAGCGTAACCCTTACTATAATCAGTGGTGGCTTTTAACTAATAAATGAAATTCAAGACTACTATTACTCATCGAGAACTACTACGCATTGGTATTAAATCAAAAAATTGAATCGAGATAAAATTTTTCTTACTCTTTATCGATATTTTAGCTGTAAAGCAGAAGTAAGTTAAGTTATTTTCAGTACAATCTGTACAACAAAGTGTTTTTATCCATAACAGTATATATCAATATTGTTTGTATATTTTATTTTCAAGAAGTGGTAAGCAAGTAAATATTTTTTATCGCAAACAAAATCAGTAAAGATTGAATCACCCCAAAGAACTATCCTATTTTTATCGATAAGAATAAGATGTTTAAAATACAATATCGGTCAAGTTTTGCAATCATAAAATACCAAAAAATTAAAGCCAATAACATCAACAACTTTTTTATACAATAATTCTGGAATTAACTCATTATTTTATTTTAATTTAACTGATGTACTATTTCATTCATTTCCTGGTATTTAATTATCCAGTTAAACAATACGTTATGATTTCAGCTTTGTACCCATACATATTGATCTTAAATAAGATCATTTAACACTTGCCAGACTTTTTTGTCTTACTCTAAAGGTGATATTAGCTTGATTTTAATCGTATATCAAAACAAATGTAATTACTGTAAGCAAAATCGAATAAAAGCCAATTTAATTAGATGAAAGTGAGTCAATGATTGCCTATTATTACCATTATTATCATAATTATTAACTATTAGATATCTTAATGGCAGTCCTAACCCATAGAAGTACATATGTTAAACACGCATTGTCATTACTGTATTCATTAGGAAGATTAACTATCAACTATTTTTAATATTTGATTCGTATGAATAGTCGTATGTCAAGCAAAACTTTATTTATTTTCCTTTTATTGAACTTCGGTCAGAGGATAGGTGTAAAGGCTGGCATACTACAGTGACTATACACCGTAAATTTCTCTTCTGAGTTAGAATCAATGCTTATTCTCAGTTGAATATGATCCATTTCTCAACATCGACTTAAAATTTTGAATTATCATTTATAGGTGTAAACGTATTAACAATCTTTAATAGATAATTAATTAAAGTCTAATTAACTAATTTAATGCTAAAATCAATGATGTGTACTTGGTTTAAAATTAAATAATTATACCATTCGCTTATAAAAAATATGTGGAGGTAATTTCTTCAAAAAATTTGTCTATCAAGTTCCCACTCCTTACACGTGAATTGGAGTGAACAAGATAAATCTAGACCAAACCTGTTTAAACTAGTAAAAATTTTAAATGAAATAAGTCAACGTCGAGACAAATACAACGTTGCAGCATACTATTTAATACTTTTCTAAACCCGGAAATATTTCGATGTCCTATCACTTTATCACACATCTTAGGATGCAGCCCATTTTATTAATTTAGAAATATACCCCAAACTGAGTCATTTAGGTTACGATTCCGTTTGATCGTAGGAAGTAACATCCAACTGTCATTTTATAATTATTGCATTACAACAATCATTCATTATTACTTAATATTTGGCATGCCTGCCGATCGCATCACTTTGGATTCTCTTTCAGTAGGCTACCAAAATTAATCTAGATTCCCTTAAACTGTATAGAAAAATAGACATTCGCCCTTATACTAAAAATAGCTCTAGACTTATAATTTTTATCAAAGTATGAACAATCGATATTTAAACATACCATTGAATTGTTAACAATCTTAATAGTAGTAAAAAAGCGATATGATAGAATGTGTGTATCGTCTAAGATTCTGTAGTAAAAGTAAGGTACTGTTCTATGCTGGAGCAGCAAAACTTCAAATTCAGCTACAGGTATAGCAAATTTACGCGTAATATCTAATAGCTATAAATAAACTATATAGAATGTACTATCGATAAAAATTTTCAAGTAAATGTATGTTCATTGATCTGCGTTGAAGCAGTAAAATTTTAAATTAAGCGATATGTATCTACGGAAGTACATCATCCCGTATAAGCATGAAGCATACATTTAATATTATTGAATAAACTATATTACGAAGTGTAAAATTGTTTAAGGATTGTAAATGAAAGTACGTGCAGCGCTCTATCCCCCGGTAGTAAAATTTCAAATTTAGCTTAATGTATCTATGGAAGAACATGATATAAATACATGATGAACGCGTAAATCGTAATGGTAGTAAGTAAACTACGCAATGGAAAGTAAAATTGTCTAAGATTTAAATAAAAATACGTGCATTGCTAAGGGCTCTTTCTAGTAATGATTAGCATTGCTCTATTATGAGTAGCATAGCTTAAATGAAGCCATATACATATTCGTAGGAAAGTTGACATCCATTCATTTAAAATTAAGAAAGAGAATTTGTTTGTATTATGTCTAAGTCACATGGTCTAAGCTGCCTCTATCTCATATCCTATAGATTTTAATAATTTTAATAATTTCTTGATTGAACTGATCATTTCATATACTTCTTTGAATCCAGTGCAAGTTTAAATACGTGAAACAATCGATTAATACTAAAACTACAAGCTATGGCTTATAGTTAGCTTCGTATAGCTTCAAATACACTCCATCAACTAAATTAATAATGATCCATATTCTCTAAAGGTAGATCGTAGCGTCAATTGCTCCAATCATAACTTCATTTTTTTAGCAGATATTTTCTGTTTCCAATACAGATTACGCAGAAAGGTAATTCTGGTACATTGTAGTTTGGAAAAAGTAACTTGTTCTGAAATTATTTATAAAAATGTTCACGGTGTAAGTTCTTAGTTACATAAGTATCATAAGTATTTTAACTAGATACTGGGTAAAGAGCGTAATTTTATTAGGAACTGCATAATAAGATATATTAAAACTGTATGTACGGATATGATGAACGATAATTTTATATCGAACAAAGCTATTGTCTTAGAAAGAGCTAGGTAAGCAATCGACTAATGCAACATTATGTTTGTCAGATAGCGGATATCACAATGATTAAATGCAGCAATTATCTGTCACAGTCAAAAAATATTACCGAAATTAATTCTCTTTTCATCGCGATTTGATATAGCTAAATGATATATTCTCTACTTGCAAGATGTTATATGCTTTATTGTGGAAGTAAGGATATATCGAAGAGTATACAGTAAATATTTCACTTTTACCCCACTAGCTTTATCCTATCAGTACAGTCAATTTTGGAATTTGTAAGATATGATTGATGTCAACTAGAGTTAGGGTTCAAAAATTCTAAGTAAATTCATTGCACCAGCTTTAAAGCAGAACTTGCAAGCGAAATTCGATGTCAGTGGATTCTAAAATAGTCGGGCATATGGTAGGATAGCATCATCTTAAAATATTCTAACCATACACTATA